CAGAAGAGTTCCGTCTGCGGCGTAGATTCAGTCTCACCTCTTACCTGAGCCCTGGATGTTTGTGTTTCAGATCAACCAATGGTGGAACAGTTTGAGTGAAGGTCAGAGGACGGTCACAGGTGAGACGTCTGTGTTTGATTGACAGCAGATAGAACACACACACACACACACACACACTGAACAAATCGTTTAAATTGGTCCCCACATGTAGCCTATGACAGAGACACAGTCTGTAGCCTCGTCCCTCGCACAGATCGGAAGTGAACTGAAACATCTTCACTGAAACATTCGTGTACGTGTGACGGGGCCGAACTCGCCAGCCATCGTCTGAACCACGACTTCAAAAACGTTTTCATGGTCTACGACCGTTTCTTAAGACACCATGTAAGACACGTGTCCAAGGTCTTAAAGGGTTAATGGAGTTTAAAGTTCTCTGTCGACCTGAACTGTTAAAGACAGGTTTGTTTTTCTTCCCAGGGATCATTGCTGCTAACGCCATCGTGTTCTGCTGCTGGAGAGTCCCGTCCCTGCAGCGCTTCATGATCCAGTACTTCACCTCCAACCCCGCCTCCAGTGAGTCTCTGCTCACACACGATAAACATCAGGCGCTGTGCTCTCTCCGTCACACTCTGACCAGATGACGTGGGAGTGGTGGAGCTGAGATTGTTCCTGATGACGTGTTGTTTGTCGTCCTCCTGCAGAGACGCTGTGCTCTCCGATGCTTCTCTCCACATTCAGCCACTTCTCTTTCTTCCACATGGCTGCAAACATGTACGTCCTCTGGAGCTTCTCCACCAGTGCTGTGTCCATGCTCGGCAGGGAGCAGTTCCTCGCGGTCTACCTGTCTGCAGGTGCTGCTCTCGACAACTCAGCGCGACAACGAGACTGTGAAAGTCTGTGAAAACGCTCGGACACTGAAGTCTCTTTCTGTCTGTGCAGGTGTCTTTTCTACATTTTTCAGTTACGCTGGTAAGATTGTCACCGGGAGGTTCGGCCCGTCTCTGGGAGCGGTAAGATAAATAACTTAAGACGCTGCCGTAGACATGTTCCTCCAGTATCTACGTTGGTATTTTTACTTCCTGTGATGTCATTTGCTGGAGAACCTTCAAATACGTCCGTCTGTCTGAAATCATGGAAACAGGTTGGGTCTCTGGTGATCGCTGCTTCCTGAGCAGGAAGTTCAAGTCATGTGATTGTTTGTGTTTTCAGTCTGGAGCCATCATGACCGTCCTGGCGGCCGTTTGCACCAAAATGCCAGAAGCTAAACTCGCCATCATCTTCCTTCCCATGTTCACATTCACAGCCGCTAACGTAAGCCCCGCCCACCCCGCCCGCCTCGCCCCAAGTCGTGTGCTCTTTATCATCTTTTCACCGCTAACCACTCCTCTTTCTCCACAGGCTCTGAAGGCCATCGTTGCCATGGATACGGCGGGTCTGGTGCTCGGGTGGAGGTTTTTCGACCACGCTGCTCATTTAGGAGGAGCCATATTTGGGATGTGAGTTCTGTCAGTTCCCATCATGCTCAGCCAAAATAAACAGGTTGATCTGATCACGCCTCAGATGTTTTTATTATTGAAGCCTGTGATTGGTGGATGATCTGTTTTAGTTTCATTCATTAATTGATGGATTTTCTGTTTCCTCCCTGTGCAGCTGGTACATCCTGTCTGGGCATGAATTGATCTGGAAGAATCGAGAACCTTTCGTCAAACTTTGGCACGACCTGAGAACTGGAGGAAGAGGAGGAGACGGAGGAGGCTCCGTGTGAGACGACGAGGACAGAATATAAATGTAAAGTTGTATAAAATGTACAGACGTGCGAAGAAGAACTGCTTCCTGCTCCGACCAGCTGCCAAGGACCTGTGGTGATGTCACGCAAACCAAATCTGGATTTAAAATAACGACCTGCGTCCATATTTGTATTTGTATGAAACATGGATTCAGATGTTAGTCGATTTGTTTTCTTGTAGAGAAACGAACTTTATTTAGTCTCCGCTAAGACAGATGATGAACTGAAAGAGAAAGATCCCGTTTCACCAGCGCTCGTCTCTCGATCTTCTCACTGGAATCAGTCGTTGAACCAGTTCATGTTTCGAAGTTGTCGATCGATCGGTGAGTTCAGGTTTCGATGTTTTGTGTTCACATATGTAAAAACATCATTTGAATAAAACAGTGGAGCTGTCGTCTGTCGACTTCACAGACGATTCAGATCAGAGACCGAGGATGTCGTCACTTCTCTTCCAACAGACATTTCCTCTGACTTTTATGCCTGGCGACACCTAGTGGCCGGAGGTGTTATGTTTTTGAGTCCAGTCGTCCGTATCGTTGTGGACACGACGACAAATGTGGTCAAATGGTCAATGACACTCAAAGAGGAACTGAGTAGATTCTGGAGGTCAAAGGTGACAGTGACCTCGTGTCAAGGGTTTACAGACTGAGATTAATAATTAATTAAATTAATTAAACTGAGCTCTGTCCTTCAAAGGAGGAAAGCTCCAAGAAATAAACAAAATAGAGATTTGAGTCACGTGCTGTCGGTTTCATCGCTCAGACAAACGTGAGAAACAAAGTTTTCAGAGTTGTGATGAAATGTGATAAAAAGCTTTGACTGATTTTCTGTCTCTGAAGTTTGAGGTTTCAGTTTGATGCAGACGTTTCTCTGACCTGCAAACAAACAGAAACACTCGGAGGTCTGAAGTCCACACACTGACACACAACTGATGTGTGTGACTCCCACTGGACCAGATGATGTCACTGATTCACTATTTAATACACACAACTTTAGGTTTATGAAAAAAACTATTAGACAACGTGACATTGAATAAATTATTAGTAAGTTTGATGCCAAAGTGTAAAAATCTATAACTTCATACAAACCTGGAAATAATCTGAGAGGAAACATTTCAAATAATGACAATTTTAAATCAATCTTGATCATTGATCAACTTCTGATGAGGTTAAATGTCCTTTTTTCTCGTACGGTCACTGAACCAGACGAGTTAGAGTAAAAATCCTTATGTTGGTGCCCTCCGGTGGACAGACAGATCTCTGCAGTTCACTGTGATTGATCAACAGACATGATCCATCACTGAAGTTGATCATCAACAAGATATTTATGATTTACATCTTGAACATTTTCATTGACTTAATTAGCAACAATAAGTTTTTCAGATTTTGTTCCGGAGATAAAAATTCTCCAAACATTAACATGTGCACTGTTTTTGTTCTTCATGTGAATAAAAGTCATGTTTATAGAAAAGTTGGAGGCTGAACGTTGCTCATAAAAAACAGTGAAACTGTGTCGACACTGATGTGTGCTCAGAGGAGGTTCGGCCTTTTTCCCAGAGTTCATCGACCCTGAGCCGAGCGCAGAGGAGCAGAGATCAGAGCAGGTTCTCACACAGAGGATTCATCTCCGACGAACAACGAGAAGAACCAGCAGAAACATTCTGAGCCTGAGACGCCTGATCTGAGGTAAGACGTGACGTGTCCCAGCTGAACTCTGCCAGACGACCACGGAATCAGTTTGATTCTGAAACATTTGAATTTCCATCCTTCAACCTGCAACGATGCAGAAGTTATGAAATGTTTCAGGTTTTATTTTAAACGATTCTGTCGGCGCTGAAACAGGAAATGGTTTTAAATTGAGCGTCAGTGCTGGAGGTCAGTAAAGATTGAATGAACCTGATTGAACTCAAACTCTGAAGGTTCACACTCTGGGACCACGATTCGTTTGAGTCCCCAACTGCTGTTTGTTTGTTTGATTCAAAACCAGAGATCTGCTGTCTTAAATGATTACTCTGTATATTACAGAAACATTATTTTATATCTATATCTATATATATCTGTATGTATATGTATATATATACAGTGTGTGTGTGTGTGTGTGTGTTGATCTGCTCGTTCCTTCATTAACATTAAGATGTTTTTTGAAACTTACATTTTAAACCAAACATTTCATCAGTTAACTGAGGAAACAATCGATGAATCATTAATTAAAACACAAAGCTCAGACTTTTAACAAGAACAAAGATAAAGGATCCAGAATAGAACCCTGAGGAACTCCACAGGTATTTCCTGACAGGGTTGTAGGGAGGTAGCAGGGTTGCTAACATGTTACCTACATGTTACATGTTACCCACAATTCCTTTGGAAGATCACAACATGTCAGACAAGGTTTTCTGTTTTTCAGGTGCTGTCCACGTCCTGCTGTGTTCCAGGTGTGCGGAGACGTAAAGCGTCATGGCGGTTGGTCTGCAGGTGGTGGCTCTGGTTCTGGGCGTGGTGTCCTGGTGTCTTCAGTCCAGCTGTATGTCCTCTCAGGTTTGGAAGGTGAGGAGTCAGGTGGAGTCGCTCAGCAGCAGCCAGTGGCAGATGGAAGGTCTGTGGATGAGCTGCGCCGCCACGTCACTCGGGTCGGTCCAGTGCAACCGATTCAAGACGCTGCTGGGTCTGCCAGGTGAGGACACACACACACACACA